CACAAAAACATGAAAAAGAAATTTCTAGTCGATTTTCAAGAAATTGTCTGTATTTCCTTGGAGTTTACAACAAATTCTGATCAGTTTTGAGTGTTCGAGTTCTCTATTTTCATAAATTTATTTCTTAAACTGTAGACATTTAAAGCAACGACATTATAGAAATTTCCATTCTTTTCATAATCTTTTGATTATTACTGAAAATTCGTCAACATTTAGATAGAAATTTCTTTTCATGTTTTCAAATCTTTCAAACTTCTGTGAACAATTCACTGTGATTTAGTAGTAATTACCAGAATGTCTCTAACATTCGTGACTTGGACCTTAGTTGTTTTGATCCATTTCTAGGTTTTTAAAGATTTTCGTAATTTCCGAAAGTAACTAGAAAAATCCTCGGCAGAGAATAATGATTAATTAAATTACCTAGACATTGCTTTTTCATGTCATAACAATTGTTGAACTTCTATAGAAAGTCCTTGGTGAGATGCAAGTAATGGCTGAAGTTTAACGAAAAATTCGCTTCTCATGTCTTGATAAACTTCAAAATTTCTAGTAAATATTTGTATTCAGTTTATGCATAAATTCTGTATACTTTGTAAGAATTTTCAGTTAATTTTTGCATTTTCTGAAGATATATTTTTGGCTTGGTAGTAGCACCTAAAATTTGATAGTTTTATGAGAGAAATTCCTTTTGTTCGGAAACTTAAACATTGTTGTACAACTATTCATCAATCTTTAGTTTTCGTTTGGAATATAGTCCAATAGCATATATTTCACTGCAGCAACTAATACAGACCATTTGCATTGGACAAGAATATATTGTAATAAAACGCGTATGCATAATTGTGAAAGAGCATCTAATATTCTATTGAAAGCAAAAATATAGTCTTTAGGTACCTGTTGTTACAGCAAAAAATCATAGAAAAACATTATAAAATGAGCGAGTATTGAACGAATTCCTTAGAATTATATTGTGACCTTGAAAAAAAAATCACTTGAATTGTTTTTAATTAACCAAAATAGAAGTTTGTAGAGAATTCGATGACACATCTTCTAAAGAAAAGCTTATGATTCTATGTTATGTCTGTGCAGAGATAAATGCAAAATAAACCATGTTGCAAACATTTGAAGTACTTGGTATATGTATACCACTACTTTGATCAATGTTATTGGAGAGAACCGCCAATAAAATCATTAGAACGATACATTAACACTAACAATCGACACAAACCGGCCGAGAGTGTTTATTGAACATTGAAAGTGAGCATACTTCATAGAACAGTAATCTTTCATATTCTATTGCTGGTAGCAATTTTTGTCTATATCTTTTTAACATATTTTTTGGACATTTTTGTTCGGTATCATAAAAGAACCGAAGTGACAACCATATATATATAAACTGTTGTTCATAAAGAAATAATGATAATCTACAATAGTAGCGTCATTATAAAGAGTGAACAAGGAGGTCAAACGTTTTCCTCTTGTGTCAAAATTCTGATTACGTCTTTAATTTACAATAGAATATTTGACTCTCTTGTTCATTTTACTCGTAAAGAGTTGTTCACAAACACTGTCATGATTAACCTATAAAAATGCTAGCGCCATCTGATTTTACATGGCCATGAAACAAAATGAAAAGAAAGAAAAAAAAATAAATATATTTTTAATATAATTGGATAAAAGAAAGACAACTCACTATTAAGTAATAAGAAAGACAAAAAGGTCAGATTGATATTATATAACATAGATCTTTCAAATAATCAAATAATTTTCATTCAACTGTCAACAGAACAACATAATCAAATATCTACACTCGGTAAACTTTTGCTTGTTCTTTCTTTAATATCAACTAGACATTATATATATTTATGTAGTCTTTTAAATTGATATTCAAAATATTTTACGTTGATTGTCAACGTATAGATATCATTTGTTAAAAAGAAAATTATTCAAATATTGTCATATGTTGACATTATGTTATTCTTTTCACTAAATATTAATTACTGCAGAATGACCTACATATCTGCAATATATTAAAAATACGAATGAAGTCTTTTTGAACTATAGCAAGAGTTGAAAGGAAAAAAGTGCTGCGTCAGTTCTTATAAACGTTTTTTTTTCTGCTACTTTTCTTTGTACGTCATATTTAATCAAAGGTCATTGAGCTTCGTAATAGAGTGTCTATTTTTATTCTTATACAATAGGCAGATTCTTCTAGATTTATAAAAATATTTTAGATAAATTAAAGAAAACTGTTAAGTAATATTTCGTGTTCTAATTACAAAAAAATTCAAGCCTTTTCATTGAAAAAGGTAAATGACTAAATAGCAATAAGTAATCTTTACAGCGACTTATATATAAATATGATTTTTTGTTTTATGAAATGATATTATTGATGTAATTGATATATACATACTTTAACTAATTCTTATCCATCTATCAGGGAAAATCAATTCGTTCGTAATAGATTTTAGAGAGTAGAAATATTTAATTCATATTGTTTTAAGGTGAGTAATCAATATTTTCAAAGTGAAAATAAAAATGGTCATCAGTACTTTGTTTATTATTTTTGTGGAAGAATAATATGAAAACATAAGATATTACTGTCTTATTGACAATATAAGATAACATAAAACAAATAACATGATTACAATGATTTCATATATGAAATAGAGAATTGTCATCATCTTGTTTTTCACCTTAGGATATTTCGACGATAATCATCATCATCTTTATACGGATGAAAACATTAACAATAAGATCATGATGATGATGATCGTTTTTGTTTTCCCTCTGAAAATATCGAAAGTTCCACTTTCAATAAGATTTATAAAATTTTTCAACTGTCTAAAACTTATTAAATTCGAATTGATTTAATTGTGCTCTCAAGTTCTTTTTTACGTTTACTCAAACAATCAATTTGTATATATTACAGTTCGTTGAATTCCATATTAAAATTCCTTTAGGAATTATGTAATCATAGTAAACAAGCGATTAAATCAAAGTTGAAAATAAATCTCTCTATAATAAATAGTGCTATTTGAATAAATTAGAGTTTATTTTAACAGTCGAGTTCATACGATGATTTATTGAAAGAGAAAATTGATCTTTATTAAATTCGACAATATATATATATATATATTTTTTTTAATTGAATCTTAATGGATATATATATTTGTTAAAAAGTCTACATTTATTTATAAGAAAATACACTTTATCGAGATTTATCGTCCAAAATAATATTTCTATTCAAGATAAACATCGAAAAATTTATTGATAATATTATAACTGAAACATGTAAGTATAGTTTAGTTTTTGATTTTATATAACGTATAAATTTAATTTAATAGAAAAAAAGCAAGTATTAAAGAAACTATTCTTCAATGTTGGTAATTATATTTTCGAGATTTATCGTTAGATTAAAATGACACTATGTTCTGTCAATGATGGAATTGATCATCGTTAAAGTTTATCGTTCCAGTTTGAAATAAGATTCAAACTTACGATTAATGTAAATATTTGTTGACGTATGAAGACAATTAACTATCATTGAGATTATAATTTATGTCAAAGCATGAAAATGCTCGAGTTTTCTTGATTTATTAATTAATGTTGTATTTAAGATCTATATATATATATGAATCCTGTACGAATACAGGCTCTCGACTCAATTAAAAAAGAAATAGAACATCGCAAATTGACATAGGAAGTTTGTAGAGATTATTATTAGGAGATAAGAAAGTGGCACAATTTTAGAAGTTATTTTTTAATTTATTAGATTTAACGACATTTTGAGAATTACTTGTCGATAGTATGCAGAACATCATACATAATGTCTTATCCTCATTTTCTCTATTAGACTGTCAAAAAAAAGTATTTCAATATATATCATGAAATCCTGACAGATGTTCAGAAAATAGCTCTGTCAAGTTGATCATTCTTAATTTTACAGTTATTCTCTTTATTATTTATTTATTCTTATTAAGTCATATATTGATGATTTAAATGAATCATAAGTAATAAGAACATGTTTTGTTTATAATATAATAAATTAAATGATTATTATTCACTGTTTAGTTATTGAAATCTCAGAAGTTACGCTCGAAATAATTATATATAGTTAGTTTTTATTTCGAAAGATAATTGCAAAAAAAATACAACAAGAAATAAATTGAGAATATTTCAAATTAAGCCTAATAAGAAGCGTGTCAAGATGAGTTGTCGGCAAACGTGTAGTTTTGTTATCTCATAAATAAAAATTGTAATTAGTAGACATGTAAGTCTTTTAATGTTTTAACCATATTAAACTACACTTATTTTGAGCACAAAAAGATTCAAAATGAAAGAGAACGAGTGTTCGATATTAGAGTACTTTTATCTGAATAATGCTCAAATATGTAATTTACAATCGAACTCACTTCTATCGTAAAAAATAGACTGTAATTATATTAGATTATTATTTATACATTTGAGATCGTCAAAGCAACGAGCTCTCTTATTAGTATTTTCAATTTCATTAAAAATATGACACATACGTACACGTATTTTTGAAAGCAAAACAAAAGTTTATATTGCTTCTATTGTGTTTTTTTGTAATCATCTTTCGAAGTGAAAACTATATATTGTTATTTCGTGGGCAAGATTCGTCGTGCGGAAGTTTCTCGTGTGCATGCTTCGTATACTCTTTATTAATATTTAATAAATTCGTCAAAAAGAAGTATCGAACTTGTTAGATTATGAAGAATATTTATCGAAGTTAGAATTTGAACAAAATAATTTAACATTCATCACGACCTATAGATCATCTATAATTATTAAAATTTATTTTTTCTATAATTATTATATTTGATTGAACTAATTTAGTAGTTTTCTGATATATGATCAAAGATATTAAAAATATTTTATTTTAATATTATGAATAAATTTATTTAGGTAGAAACCAAACATAAAAGAATTGTTTTATTAAAATGAAAATTATTTTAACCTTATTTTAGTATATCATAATGGAATATAAAAGAGCTATTCAACCATATGAAATTAATTTTGATACAACTGGAAAAATAAATTTATCTGAAATATGTCAAGTGTGTGGAGAAGAAAATGCTAAATTTTCTTATGGTGTTCAATCTTGTGCTTCATGTAAAATATTCTTTCGTCGAAATGCTAATCTTGACATAGTTAGTTAAATATTTAATAAATTAAAATAATAAAATTTATTCTTTTTTTAAATAGAATAAAAATAAATGTATATTTGGTGAAAACTGTCTTATAACAATAAAAAATCGACATACATGTCGATATTGTAGATTAAACAAATGTTTATCTGTTGGAATGAAAAAAGAATTATTGCGTGCTTCCCATGGAGCTCAAGGTGGAATGAAAATGAAAAAAAAATTATTAGCTGAAAAAATAAAACTAGATGAAAAAAAATTGTCTTCAATACTAATTATTCATCCACTTGATTTACTGAACCATGATCGTTCATTATTAACTTTTGATCAATGGTCTTTATTATCAAATATTAATTATGCTTATAATTATAAAAGTCCAATACCAAATATTACTTATATTATATCTAGTCAATCAGTTTATCCTCCTAAAATTCGTTTAAAACTAGCAAATGCTAGTGTTATGGATATGATTGGTTCAATGTATAGTGCTAGTGAATCGTTTGTTAAAATAATTCCGGAGTTTTCATCAATGACAAATCATGATCAAACTGCATTAATGACAAGAAATATTCTCAATTTAGGTGGTTTCAACTGTGAATTTATGATGCGTGAAACCAATATGATAAAAGATGTTGCTTATTCAAATTGTCTTTTATCAACTTATGGATCTTGGCTATTTAATGGAACTGTTCAAATTACTCAAAATATGGATTTTGATGGAACATTACTCAAATTGTTACTTGCTGTATTGGCCTTTTCTACATGCTCTGATGTTGTTATTCCAGTTTACAAGAAGCATTGCAACAAGTATCTATAATTAAGATTTTTTTCGTTATAAACTTTGATTTTTGTCCTATCTAAAACAAAATTCTTGTCATTATATCGATACTTCTCTTCTGACCACTTCATTTAAAAACAGAAAAAATTTCTTAAAAAATTATTGTTTAAACATAACATTGAATTAATGCATATAATACATCAATTGAATAATTTAATCATCTATTTTGTTCGTAGTGGACTATTGTATAAAACATCTGAACAGTATATACTTTTTCAGATTTGAAAACTACTCATAAGACTAAAAATATTTCAATCATTCACAAAAATTCTTTTTTTTGTCACATGTCTTCTTGTTTGAGAAGAAAACATAAAAACAAATAAATAAAGTCAAAAAAAGTGATTAGAACGAATAAGTAACATTGAATTCTAGATTGAATTTTTGAAACACTTTTTTCTTCTTTAATTAACAATAAAACTAAAAATTTGCATAAAATGATTTCTAATTATTAAATTCAAAAATGTTGAAAATCTTGAGTCGATTAGATTATATTTAACCATTTATTTGAAATATTATTTTTCATGAATAATTTATTAGTTTTTTTTTTAATTTAGAATATCTGATTATTCTTTCTACAATAATTTATGTGAAACAAATTATCTTTCAATAAATACAATATATTTATTTGAAATTCAAAATAAATATGTTGTATTGATGTTCAAATATATGATTTATCGATATGGTTATTATGAAGCAGCCTTACGTTTTGCATGTCTTATGAAAAATTTTCTTCATCAAAGTGTTCTCACGGCAAATGCAGCTGAAATATCAAAACATGATCAAATGATAAAAACACTTGTTGACAAAACAGAACAATTATTTTTCTTGGAAGATCAGTTTTATGATTGAGAATTCTTATTTTATTTTTGTCCAATTTATTTTTATTATAAGATTATTATTTTGTTGTATTGTAATAATGATTATAGATTTTTTTTTCTTTTGGAAAGAAAAATATTTCAATAGTTTCTATTGTGTAGAAAACTATATTTGTATTCAATTTTTGCCTCATTTACAAGTTTATACAATCAATTTTTTATGAAAATTTAAATTATTATAAAAGCTTTGAATTTGTTCAAAGTTGGATTTGACATGAGCCTTTCATATTAGTTTAATAAAATTAATATTGATTTTTGAAGATCGACAAGAGAATATTACTAAGAATATGAAGTTTTGTAAAAAGCTTTATATGTCTTAATAGAAAATACATCAATCGTAATACACATATTTTATTGTTCGACTATTCTTTCGATATTTAATAGGTCAGATAAACACAAAGACAAAAAAAAAGAAATCTAATAGTCCATATTCTTTATTTGTGTTGAATAAATTAGATAGAATTAATAATAAGATAAAACTATGATGGTAATTGTTAGTAGTCTCTAATAATCTTCCTTGATTGCATTGTTCAATGATAGATTTTAGAAAATCGTTTGACATAATTCTATATTTAGTACAAGACCGATTGTCAACAAATGAATTTATATTGCTTCAAATGTTTTACTTTTAATTCATTGAAATATAAGAAATCAAACTAACTAGTTAAGAAAGAGACTCTTCTCCACCTTGTCACTAAGGTCTAAGGATTATCATGATTTTATATCATACATGCATGCTACATAATAATCTCCTTTATTAAATCTATTAAAAATATCTAAATTCACAACAATTTTGAAACGAGCTATTTACAAAAAACTACATTTTTCTGAAGCATATGTCAATACAAAAAACTTTAATTTAGAGTTATTTCAGAAATTAAAGTCGAACCATATTGGATACTAAATTATGATAGTACATCACTATTGAATAAAAAATCACAAAAAAACTCAATTGGTTTTTCTCTTGATCAGGACTATATAATAATGCATACTTCCAAGATCGAAAATTTGACATTGTGATATTAAACGTAACAAATATTTGAGTATAATATACATTTTGAAAATTATTAATTTAATTCATACATTAAACTTTTGTCAAACTCTAGAATATTGAAAAAATTACTTTAAATCTTTGCTTTTCAAATATATAAGATTAAACTCCAGTGTTCTATCAAGTATGAAATAACCGAGTGTGATAAATGATTGTTTACTCCATTCAGAGATCTATGAAAAAGTATAACAAAAAGTTTCTCTACAACATACCTGAATTTACTATTGGTTACAATACTCGTTACATCTAAGTTGAACGTTATAATAGCTTTTTATGAAGTATTGCGTCGAACACATAATAGACTGATTCTAATACATAATCATTTTCTTATAAATATTCTGTTCTTATAAACAATAGTGGCCTAATGCATGATATAATTAGCTTAATAATAACTATCAGCTTCTATTTCATAATTAAATTTCGAGTTCATCTGATTTGAAATAAAGTAAAATGAACCAATTCTTTCCTTCAATGGATCATATTTAATTATATACATGATAATCTTCTATATTTTTGGTTTTCTTATTATGAATGGCAAAGTATGTCATTTTTCAAGATCAACTTTCTAATTAAATCTTATTTCTATAGGTAAAGATGAGTATCATTCTCACTATTTGATAATTAACTATGACTTATTTTACATGGGAATATGTCGGATAATAATATGTTTCAATTGAATTATCTCGTCGTATTGAACTGTCGATAGATGCTTAATCATCTTTATATTATCGCATTGACAATACGGATAGTAGTTTTGTTAGCTATCAATCTTAATTTTAGCAAATTGTGATGCAAAATATACGCTTTTACAGTCGATCTACTTGTTTACAGTTGAGATTTCTTATATGGAAACGAAATCTTATGATAACTTTTGTTGTTATAATTGATTCAATATCAATTAATTATGCTTTTTGGTTTGCGTTCACAGTAACCATGAAAGTTTATTGTATAATCACTATTTTCTAAATAAAACGTTTCTCAATATCATTTCAGTTAAAACGGATTCATCTTTATTTTGCAAAGAAAAAGCTTAATTTTTTGTGCTGTGTAAACAGTGATCTCATGTAGAAATATTATCTTTCCATAATAAGGAATTAAATTTAGTTTTTTCTTCCATAAATTATTTTCACAAATAGTTAATCATTAAGCAATAATCGTTATATCAAAGAAGGAACCAAGAAATCAATGCAGAGTTATCTACAAACATGATAAATAGATAGATATAGTATTTCATTATTGAGATCATATAGAAATCAGCTAATTACTTATGTTTGAAATAAAATATAGATATTTATGAAAATTGGTTTCATGCTGATAGTTTATTGACATTTGAAATGAAGTTATCTTTTGTCATTATTTTCTTATTTAGTCTTTTTAAAGTTTACATTTTAACGACTGAAGTCTTTATTTTTATTATTTGAACTGTAAAACTCGTCTTCTTATTCTTGTTGACAAAGATACTTAAGTAACATGTTAATAATTGGTAAATCTTGAAATTGTTTCGAATTTCTTTGAATTGGTTAAAATAAAAATTTTCGGATTATTTGTTTATTAAGTTCTAAGTTCAATTCATCTGACACTTATAATAGAAAAAGCAAGCTTCTTTGAAAAACTATTTGAACAATTGATGGAATCCAAAGTCTTTCATAGACATTGTAATCGTAAAAATGAAGTTCTCTGATTTTTTTTCTAAGAAACAAGAGTGATATGTGTCAATTCAGAATATTAATGAATAATGATTATTTTTACTATGACTACAAAACTATGTCCATATGGAATTAATTATCATTAGATCAAGTTACCACTTTCGAAAATCGAATACACTTTTACCTATACGATTGAGATTGTATGAAACTATCTTCTGAAAGTGCAAAAAATATGCGAAAACCATTAAATGGAAATCATTAATAATAAACATACAAGCATTTACTATATTTAATTTGATTTGCAGTGGAATAAACGAAAATGATCGTAAACAATTAAATTAATATTCAACTCATCGAAGAAAATAAAACTCTAAGAATAAAACAACATGATGAACTTTATTAACATAATTCAATTTATGAAAGATGTAGTGTATGCAACAATATTGAGATGAGTATTCAAATGAAAAAATAAACAGATATCAGTGTTGGTGTATCGATCAATATATTAATTATAAATTATTGTTTGAAAAATATATTCACATCTTTTAAAAAACATTTATTCTTTTAACTTAACACAGAAACACTTGATTTTAATTTTATTAAATTTTAAGGAACTATTGAGATTTCGTCGAAAAAGTGAAAATAATGATTGACAAAAGAATACATCTAGCTGTCCATCCGCTTTGGAGCTGATGCTGAGTATATATTGTAGACCTTAATGAACCTACGACTATTACAAAAAGAGTTCGTGTCCATGTCTTTTTTCTGAGCAGATCGAACAGTTTTAATCAGTTTCTGTTGTGAGACTCTACGATTGCAGCAATGCCATGCTTTCGAATATCGATTTTAAACAGAAATTATAGTCCAGTTTACGTACCATACGAGGCAAATTTACCGCTAAAATACGAATAACTGTATCCGTCGACCTGGGTAAAGCTCAATTTCGAATCACTGAAATGTCTTCAATTCGGTACCTGAGAGTACTGTGGAGTAGTACTCGCATGGGTATCTGAACAGTACCTTCAAATACTTATCTACTAGACCCTAGTGTAGCTAGGTACTCATATAAATACCAAATACATATCTTAATTCGATTTAAAGTACTTCACTATGTAAAATTTTCTATTAAATACTAGTAGTCGATCACTTTTTCTGATACTTGTACTCAGCACATTCACTAGACATGTTTGAAAATGAAGATTTACATTATGTGTATTAGCTTCTATTTATTTTCTACTAAAAAAAACTATTTTGAAAATATCTCATCCATTGGGTTCTCTTCAGTATAATGACGCCATGCAGAAAGATATTCATCATTATGCACACTGAGAATATAATGAAATGAATATTTCAAGTTCGTACACATTTATTGGTGATGATGAAAGAAAGAAAACTTCAGTTCTCATAGATAAAGAGATTTGTAAATAGCTCAGAGATAACAAATTTTTTTAATGTTATTTAATAATAATAAATAGTTTTAATGAACAACCAATAGAATAATGAAAATATTGCCATGATTTGACACCAGAAGTTTAAGAAAAAACAATATTTTAATCAAAAAGTTAACTAATTTCGTTCTCTTTCTCTTCAATTAAAAAGACATATGTTCTTTTTAAGATTAATATCAAGACTAACTTGTTTACTTTGATCTACTGCCGATGATTGTATTGAATTAGAAAAGGAATCTCTCTATGCATTATAAATTGTAAGAAGAATAATGAAAATGAACACTTCATCCTTTGTCTCTGGAAATAATAAATGTTTCATGCTATAGAGAAACATATACATATACTGATAAAGACCATAGTTTATTCACAATTTTTTTCATATCACGTTTTCTTCAAAATAGAGAAAGAAAAAGGATTATTGATTTGAATATTTATTAGATCGATTATTGTTTCAAGATTATATATTCTAATTATAATGTGCTATGAAAAGAACAATCAAATGAGTTATAAAAAAAGAACCAATAACTATCTCATTTATTTTGATAATTCCTTTGTTATTTAAAAAATATCAACTGTTTTGTTTCTTTCTTTGATTTAATGATAAGACATTAGATCATATTTCATAGAAGTACGAGAAACAAACCTAATAGAACAAAGCATGAAGATGATTGTTTTTCAATGTATTATTTATTTACAAATGTTTGATCTTTGATTCAATTTTATTTGAGCAAATGACAAATATTCGTTTATTTTAACAAAAAAATGAACAACATTAGTATAACACAATAACTTTCATAACAAAATATAATTAACCTTTTGGATTCCGATA